TCTGATTGATATCAAGGCTCCTGGCTGATAACTTTGTCAATATTTTTGTGGAAGAAATTAAAGAATTCAGTAAGGGTACCAAAGAAGTACTGACTAAGCAAAACTCACAGAACAAATTTTTTTAAGGAAAGATTGTATTGATTTATTTTTAGGGAGAGGGGCAGGAAGGGAGAAGGCGAGGGAGAGAAACATCAATGTGCAAGAGGTACATTGATTGGTTGCCTCTCACATGCCCCCAATGGGGACTTGGCCCACAATCCAGGCATGTGCCCTGACAGGGAATTGAACCTGTGATCTTTCATTTCACAGGCAGGTACTCAATCCACTGAGCCACACCAGCCAGGGCCAAATATTTTTTTAAAACTTGCCTATATAGTTGTAATAAAAAAAAAAATCAATATACCTGTTGGGGCAGAAGTAGGTTTACACTTGTGAGTATGTGAAACAGAATTCATTCTTGTATTATTTTTTATTATTCTACTATTTTCCATACAAACAACAGTAAAACTAATTTCCTCCCATCATATATATATTTATATAATAATAAAACATCCGGCAAAAGTAAGGCCTGCTTGAGTGTGGCTGGTAGGATAATAATATGGGTATAATAATTTATAGTTTTAATTTGAACATTTTACCTAAAATGTCATATGGTGGGGCATGAGTATGATATTGCAATGTTACAGAATTATGTGACTATGATTTTATAATAAAGCTTTTGTAACACCACAAAGTCAGGAAGTCAAGAGAGGTCAATTTAAGAAGGAAAAGCAAAAAAGAAAAAGTCTCACAAATAATGGGAAGACAAAGAAAGAAACCTCAATTGAAGGGAAAGGAGGAATCCCCAAAAATAGAACTAAATGAAATAGAGGCAAGTAAACTATCAGCTATTGAGTTCAAAACAATGGTTCAAAGGAAGCTTAATGAGCTTAAGGAGTTCAGGGAGAATTACCAAAAACTACAGGGAAACTATGAGGAACTTACTGCAAACTATATCAGCATGGAAAAGGACATAGAAACTATCAATAAGCGACAAGAGGAAATGAAGAATACCATTTCTGAATTGAAGAACACAGTAGAAATTGAAAAGTTTCTGGAAACAAATGAAAATGAACATACAACAGTCCAAAACCTCTGGGACACAGTGAAGGGAGTCCTGAGAGGGAAGTTCATAGCAATACAGGCCTACCTAAAAAGATAGAAATGTTTCAAATAAATAACCTAATCCTACATCTTCAAGAACTGGATAAACAACAACAAACAAAGTCCGAGTGAGTAGAAGGAAGGAAATAATCAAGATCAGAGCAGAACTGAGTGAAGTAGAGACTAAACGAACAATTCAAAGGATCAATCAATCCAGGAGCTGGTTCTTTGAAAAGATAAACAAAACCAACAAGCCTTTAAGCAGACTCATCAAGAAAAAAGGAAGACCCAAATAACTAATATCAGAAATGCAAGTGGAGAAATAACCACTGATACCACAGAAACACAAAGGATTATAAGAAACTATTGTTCATAGCATATGCCAAGAAATTTGAAAACCTCAATGAAATGGACAAATGTCTAGAAAAAAAATAACCTTCCAACACTGAATGAAAAAGCAGCAGAAAGCCTGAACAGACCAATAACAGCTGGTGAAATTGAAGCAGTCATCAAAAAACTGCTGGTACACAAAAGCCAGGGACTGGATGGTTTCTCAGGAGAATTTTACAAAGCATTTACAAAAGAGCTAACCCCTGTCATTCTCAGGCTATTCCAAAAAACCAAGGAGAGGGAAGACTTCCAAACTTTTTTTCTGCGGCCAGCAGCCTGCTAATCCCCAAAACAGATAAAGACACAACAAAGAAAGAAAACTACAGGCCAATATTGCTGATGACCATAGACGCTAAAATCCTCAACAAAATATTGGGAAAGCACATCCAGCAATACATCAAAAAGATCACACACCATGATCAAGTGGGATTCATCCCAGGGATGCAAGGATGGTTGACTATTTGCAAATCAATAAATATAATACATCGCAGAAACAAAAAGAAAGACAAAAATCACATGATCATCTCAATAGATGAGGAAAAAGCATTTGATAAGGTACAGCACCCATTTATGATAAAAACACCCAGCAAAGTGGGAGTGAGGGAGGCATACCTCAATATAATAAAGACCATATATAAAAAAACCTATAGCTAACACCATACTCAATGGGCAATAACTAAAAGCTTTCCCACTATGATGGGGAACAAGACAAGGTTGTCTGTTTTCACCATTTCTATTCAACATAGTATTGGAAGTCCTAGCCATAGCGATCATACAAGAAAAAGAAATAAAAGAAATCCAAATCAGAAAGGACAAAGTAAAACTGTCATTGTTTGCAGATGACATGATGGGGTACATAGACAACCCCATAGACTCCACCAAAAAAACTACTTGATCTTCTAAGTGAATTTAGCAAAACAGCAGGATGCAAAGTTAATATTCAGAAATCAAAGGCATTTTTGTACACCAACAATGAAATACCAGAATCAGAAATCAGGAAAAAATCCAATTTGCTATAGCAAGAAAAAAAATAAAGTGCCTAGGAATAAACTTAACCAAGGAGGTAAAAGACCTACACTCAGAAAGCTTTACAACACTGAAGAAAGAAGTTGAGGAAGACACAAATAAATGGAAGCACATACACATATGTTCGTAGATTGGAAGAATTAGCATCATCAAAATGTCCATACTTCCCAAAACAATTTATAGATTCAATGTAATCCCTATTGAAATACCAATGATGTATTTCACAGATCTAGAACAAACATTTAAAAAATTTATATGGAATCATAAATGACCCTGAATAGCTGCAGCAATTTTGAGAAAGAAGAACAAAGTAGGAGGGATCACAATACCTGACATCAAACTATATTACAAGGCCACTGTAATCAAAACAGTCTGGTACTGGCATAAGAACAGACACACACAAACAAAAAAAAAAAGATTTTGTAATAAAGAAAGGACGTTATTTGTGACGGACCCTGTATATTAATATATTATAAAGTGGCATTTCGGTTTAATAGGAAGGAGATATTTCATTTATAAATCAATAAGAGATGGCAATAACTGGCTATCAATATGGAAGATACAAAGTTAGGTTTCTATTTGCACACTATATGACAAAATAAATTCTAGAAAGATTATAAATTACATATTTACTATATATAGTATTTTATTATTGTTTTGACAGCTTTTCAAGGGCAGTTTGAGTGTATTTAACTTTTGTAGATTAACTCGAACATTTAATTTCTGTGAAGAATGAAACTTAATGGCAGGCAGATGCCAAGAATGTGAAAGACAGAAAAATATATGACAGTTTCTGCCTTCAAGATATTTGAAGCAACTATATATTTAAAATGTGGGACATTAAATAATGTAAATAACTTATCATGAATACAAAATGTGTGGCCAAACCATTATAATTGTTGAATGAGTCAATGAAGGAATGAATGGACCCACACTATTCAAACATTGTACATTTATTAAACCTGATTCTGTATCTAGGGTATTATGAATTTCTAACTATCTTCTTTCAAAAACAAAATTGCAAGAGTAACATGCTTATTATTTGAAAAATTCACTGGTTATAATGCAAAAGGTATAAAGTCTCTTCCTATCCTTATTTATCAACCTGACCCTCAGAGATAACTTTTTACAGTGTATGTATCCATCCAGAAACTTGCATGCCATACATAGTCACAGACTTGTAAAGAACTATACCATATACAGTCCGCCTAAAGATGATCTTTTTTTGACTACCTACTGATTTATTTCATTACTTTTAGTGTCTACACAGTGTCAGCATTATCAGATCCTAACGTCAAAACTTATTTAATCATTTCTTTATTGATAGACATTCAGATTATTTCCTATTTTCCACTGTTAGAAATAGTACATCAGTTAATAGATTTATACCTCCTTGTGTCAGATTATCTGTAAAATAAATCCCCAGAAATCTAATCCTTCAAATTGCACTTCTGATGAAGGTAGAAATTGTTCTATCATGATTTGGTTTAAACTGATCAGTTTAGGTAAATCAATGCTCATTAGATATCAGGATGAACTGGCGGCCACATCAAGATCAGTTGTTTAGTTTTTATTTGGTGGGGTGCGGGGGCGGGGTTGGGTGTGTGTGTGTGTGTGTGTGTGTGTGTGTGTGTACCTACAAACCGTTCAGTCCTTGTGTGTGTGTGTGTGTGTGTGTGTGTACCTACAAACCGTTCAGTCCTTCCTTTCTCTTCTTAAGGTTCTCACGCGTATTCCTTCAGAAGCTTGAGATGCTTGGATAAAGAATATACTGTGCGGTCCTTGGTAAAAGAAAATAACGCTATTTCCCAAGAATTTTACAGGACAACTTGTAAAATGAACTCAGAAGAAAAAAAAAAAAAGACTTGTCGCTTTTTAACACTCATCCTCAAATATTTTATTGTGGGCCAGTACTGGTCCTACAACTTATTTTCAATTTTTAGTGGAGCTGCAGTTGGTTTTTTTGTCTTCCTCAAACAGGAGGGAAAGAGGTTAAAAGTCCTGTCTCGGCTGGGATAGGACTGCTGCGGCCCAGGGAAACCCCGTCCTAAGTTTGGGGAGGGTTTGGTTTTTTACTCTTTGCTATTGCTACTGTTTGGCGAGGCTAAGGGGAGGAATAAAAACATCCGGGCTCCATGACTGCTTTAATTCTCCCTATTCCTTGAAGGAGGGAAACTTTAGCACATCTCTGCCCTTTTCTAAAACAATAGGGTCCTCTCAAGAGTCACCAGACAGAAACACCAACCCTGCACTCGGACTTGGCTGTGACCTAAATAGGAGCGAGACAAAGGAAACTAAAGTGACGTGGACACAGCCGGGATAGCACCGAAAAGCATAGACCCTGCCTTTGCACTTCATCCTTTCCACCTCCCCCGTCGCCTGGGGTTCTGTGTCTCAGGGGCGGGGCTGAGCTCTTCTTCCGGGTTGAGGACGGAAGTGGAGATTTTGAATCTTGGAGGCCGTTGGATGGGAATGTCTGGGTTGTTGCAGCGCGAGAACTGAAAAGTGACACGGCCCTTCTGGAACTTCTTTCCCGTGCTTTGGTGAGTGGAAGAGGAATGAGAAGAAATGGAGTATTCCAGGGAGAGAAGCCGAACCGTCCCCTGGAGTTGGAGTTCGGGAGGCGGCAGAGTGTAGCGGTGGCCTTGGACTGCCTTAGGGTTTGTCGGATGGCGGGACCGGGTATGGGGACTTTGAGAAGTCAGGGCGCTGGGGAGCTTTTCCCGGGCGTATACAAGTCGATTCGGATAATGTTGAGGATTCAGAGACTCCACAGCCCCGAGATTAAGTCTTGTTTAACTTCTGACTTTCTGGTAATCGCAGTTTAGCATTTCCGCCATTAGGTTGGAATGCTGAAGCTTCAACAATAGTTATAGCTAATTGTGGAAGCGTTACCACAGGTAAAAGAACCTTCCTTTATTAAAAATGGAAGGTGGGGGACAGGTTTGGAATGACGAGGTGCTCAACAGAGCTCCGAGTTCCTCCCTAAGAGGAGTGCCCGCAGTAGCCTTTATTATTCTAGACCGCAGGGAAGTGACAGTCTGAAACGCCTGGTAGGGATTTAAACTGAAATCTGAGTATCCTTTGTATTTAAAACCCGGATATTTTTCTTTCACTCCTTGACATATTTCATATACCACAAAAATCCGAGACTCTTTCTCCTTTAAACTTACTATAATAGTAGTGGTGATTCACAAGGGTCTCAGTTTGCTAACAATAGCAATAAGGTTCCACAGATCTGCTCTCATTCTCTTCATTCATTGGCCAGCCGGGTTATTGTGGAGTCATTTTGGAAATACTCTACTCATATTAATAGTATGGGATTTCTTTGTTTGGTTCTTGTGTGTGCATGTTTGTTTGTGTGTTTTTGCTTATTTATTTTTAATGATGAACTATATAAAATATCAAAATCTATCTAACCCTGTAACAAAGTGATGCCTTCTGGAATAGTTTAACTGTGTGCCCTAAGTGTAAACTATAAATGAGTACTTTAAATGTATAGAAATTAAATATCTTGCCTTACTGAAATCTGTCAGACTAATTTTGTCTTGCTTTATAGAAACACATTTTTTTTAAAGATTTTAACACCAGGGTTTCACACCGTATAGGTGTATAAATAGTTCTTAAAAAGTAGTACTTAGTAATACTCAGACGTTCCTTCATCCAATACTGACTACTCCCACTCTTCCATCCTGCTGATGAATTTTTGTTCCTTTAATAATCAGGAAAAATTAGATTTAAATATTCAGTATTTATGATCATTGAAAATTAAACATCTTGCATAAGGCTGTAGCAAAGACATTAGCTCTACTTTCCTAGGGAGTACAAGCAGCTGTTCCGCTTGTTTTGTGTAAACCACCAGCAAATGGTAATTTTTTAAATGGTTAGTGTCTACATTTTAATCTTTTTCTTTTCCTTACCTGGACTCTTTTCATTGAGTATTTGCTCTGTCTGCCTAAATCAGTGAGTTTCCGTTTCTATTTTGTACATATCATCATGAAGGGTTTGTTTAAGTGCTAATTCCTGCACTTCAAATCTCAGAGTAGGTCTGGAGGATGGGGTTGAGGAATCTGTATTTATTAATTATTAATTTAACTAGAAAGTTTGAAAATTTGGCCAGTGTTCAAAAACACTGACTTGATCTTTCCTAAAGAGGCTTTATAATATATTAGTTAAGGGCGTGAAACTGGAGCCAGTGGTTCCATCTCTTCCACTTGGTAGCTGTGTGACCTAAGAAAGCTGTTTCACTTTTCTGTGCTTCAGTTCCCACAACTGTATAATGGGGATAAATAATACCTACCTTGTAGGATTATGGTGAGAATCAAAGTTATACATATACACATTTTAGAATAGTGTGTAGCACATAGTAAATGATACATATACCTCCTGTTGAGTTACTAAGCATTATACAAGCCACGTTACATACATTACCTCACTATTTACAAATAACCTTGATATGCCCTGCTTTCAGATAAAATTGAAGCTAAGAGGGCTTCAGTAATTTGTTTTCACACAACTAATAAAATGTTTGAACTGGGGTTAGAAGCTAGATTTAATTAGAAAGTTTATGCCTTTTTTTTTTTTGTAAGTTATGCTCCCTGCCCCTTTCTGCAGTCTCTCCTTCCAAATGTTGCTCCATAAAAAAATCTCTTATGACTCCCCATGGCCTACCATATAAAATTCAAATTTCTTGGCTGTTTTTTACAAAGCCCTTCTCAATCTGGTCCCAATCTCTCTTTCCAAACATCATCGTCATAATATTTTACCACCCTTTTCCAACCTGTGATGTTTTATCCATACTACAGTTCCTCAAATCCATTCTCTCATTTTTATGCATACTTAGCCATTGACTGTTTTTATTTCCCCTTAAAATTTTACCCAGTGAGTTTCAGATATTGTCCCAGATTTCCCCAGACAGTGCTTCTTCCACCTCCATTTAGTTAAAGACATCATAACCCTAGACTGAGAGTTCTTGTCCTCTTTGTCTTTTTATCTGCAAATTCTTATGCACAACAGTGGGTCCTTATACTCTGAAACTGTTAATATTCAATGAGTGCTTGTTATTTTAACAAGTTAACACATTGTATCTTATTAATGCTGAGATAATATAATTCTGTGTAGTATAGTGGAGAGATTTTAGTCACATCATATGGTTTGTAAGTTTCACAAATATGGAAAAATAGATATTGAAATCACTGGCTTAGAAGACATTTCAAGTGGGGGAAAATTAAAAGCAATATTTGCTAACATTCACATAACTCCAAATCCTGTATATGTATTTTCACACTTAGAGCTATTTTATCTCCATATTATGATGAAGAAACAGGCACCAAAGAATTTAATAATTAAAAAAGTTATTTTTTTGTGTTTAATTTCCTCCTAGTGCAGTTTTCTTTTAATTATAGAAATAACATGTTAAGTGTAATTTAAAAATTAACTTTATAATAGAAAATTAGCCTCATTTGTACATGAATGTTCATTTTTGCATCAATTCTAAATTAAAATGTCAAGGGATCGAAAAACAGGTTTACCTTTCTTTTTAGTTTGAATAGTTAAGACTGTTATCTGACCTTGCCCACAAACTTTCCTTTGAAAACCTGTCCAACAATGTAGGAACATCATTCTAAGGACCAAGGGGTAGGGATTTGGTCTAAGGATGCTTCTGTTCCACTTATCATCTTCAGCCAAAGTAGTACCAGGTATTTTACCTCAGAGCTGAATATCTGATGTAGGCCAGGCCATTCACATTATTTCTCTTGAATTTGGAGTTGGGATACAAAAAAGCTATTGGGAACCAAGCTAGAAAAGTTTTCACGTGCTGAGATGACAGTAGTATCATGAAGAAACATGAACAATGGGCATAGGGAGCCTATATGCAGAAGAGGGTGGGGAACATGTTTCCTAAGGACTAGTTATAAAGTAAGTCAATATAAACTTGTAACTTTATTACTTCTCCTTTTTTGTTGTCAAGACTATTTTTAAGAGCAGTTTTTAGGTTCACAACAAATTGAGAATAGAGATTTCCCATGTACACTCTGCCCCCACACATGCATACTCTCTATCAATATCTCGCGCTAGAGTGGTACATTTCTTACAGTTGATGAACCTATACTGACTGATGATAATTACTCGAAATCCATAATTTAAATTATGGTTCACTCTTGATGTACATTCATTGGGTTTAGACAAATACCTACCAGTAATGATTCGTATCCATCACTGTGGTATCATACAGAGTAAAAATACTATAGTGTAATATAGTTCTAAATTCCTCTGCTCCACCTATGCATCCCCCTTCCGCAAACACTGATCTTGTTACCATCTTCATTGTTTTGCCTTTTCCAGAATACAACAGTTGGATCTTTTTAAATATACATATTCAGTGCTCTACATTTCCCCCTGAGCACTGCTTTTACAGCATCCCCCAAATTTTGATATGTTGCATTTTAATTCTCATATAGTTAAAAATACCTTGTATTTTTCTCTTGAGATTTCTTCTGTGACCTTTGTGTTATTTAAAAGTGTGTTAGTATCTGTGAGTTTTTGATTTTCTGATTATCTTTCTGTTACTGGCTTCTAGTTTAATGCCTTTATGGTCTGAGAACAGACATTATATGATTTCTGTTCTTTTAAATTTGTTAAGTTCTGCTTTATGTCCTAGAATGGGTCTGACTTGGTGAATATTCCACGTAAGTTTGAGAAAAATGTATATTCTCCTGATGTTAGATGTAGTAGTCTATTACATCCAGTTAATTGATGATGAATTCAACTATGCCCTTACTGATTATTTGCCTGTTGGATTTATCCTATTCTGATGGAGAAGTGTTGAAGTTTCCAACTATGTTAGTGGATTTATTTGTTTCTCTTTGCAATTCCTTCAGATTTTGCTTCACATATCACTCTTGTTAGGCACATACATCTTAAGTATTGTTATACCTTCTTGGAGCATCGACCCCTTTATCATTACATGATGCCCTTATTTATCTTGGGTAAGTTTTCTTACTTTGAAGTCTATTCTGTCTGAAATTAATAAAGCTTTTCCTGCTTTCTTTGGATTAGTGTTAGCATGGTATGTTTTTCTCTACTTGTTTAGTTTTAAATATAAATCTATATTTAAAGTTTCTTGTAGGTAACATATAGTTGGGTCTAATTTTTTTTTTTTAAATCTACTCTGACAAATCAGTCTTTCATTTGGTACTTTAGACCTTTGACATCAAAGTGATTATTGATATAGTTGGAATTATATCTACCGTATTTACTACTATTTTCTACTTGTTGGCCTGTTCTTTTGTCCTACTTTTGTCTACCTTTTGCAATTTTTTAAAATTTTATTTTTATTTTTTAGAGAGGGGAACGGAAGGAGAGAAATATCAATGTGAGAGAGAAACATCAATCGGTTGCCTCTCATGTGTGCACTGACTGGGAATTGAACCGATGACCTTTTGTGGGAGAACACCCAACCAAGTGAGCCACACTGGTCAGGGCTACCTTTTGTGATTTTAATTGAACAATTTATTTGACTTTATTTTCTCTCTTAGGGTAT